GTGTACTGGGATCTATACTGATCTGGAGAAAGGAGTAAACAGTGAATGGCAAAATGTGCAGACAATACAAAACTATTTAAGATAGCTTAGTCCAAAGCAGACTGCAAAGAGTTACTAAAGGATCTCGCAAAACTGGGTGACTGGGCAACAAAATAGTAGATGAAATTCAATGTTGATAAATGCAAAGTAATACACATTGGAAAACATAATCCCAACTGTACATATAAAATGATGGGGTCTAAATTATCTGTTCCCATTCAATAAAGAGATCTTGGAGTCATTGTGGATAGTTCTCGAACATCTGCTTAATATGCAGCTGCTGTAAAAAAAAATTCAACCCCCTCTCTTGGAGGGCTATTCCAGAGCTTAACTACCCTTTTAGTTAGAAAGCTTTTTCCTAGTATCTCACCTAAATCTCCCTTGCTACAGATTAAGCCCATTACTTCTTGTTTTACCTTCAGTGGACATGGCATTCAAAAAGAGCTCACTGATCACTGTCCTCTTTATAACAGCCCTTAATTTGAAGGCTGTTTTCAGGTCCCTCCTCGATCTTCTTTTCTCAAGACTAAACATGCTTAGTTCTTTTTGTTTTGTTTTTTTAAATCCTTTTCTCCCAGGCCATGTTTTCTTAACCTTTTATTATTTTTGTTGCTCTCGTCTGGACTCTCTCCAATTTTTCCACAACTTTTTTAAAGTGGTGCCCAGAATTGAACACAATACTCCAGCAGAATTCACAGCAGTGCCAAGTAGAGCGGGACAATTACCTCCCATGTCTGATATGCAACACTCCTCTTAACACACCCCAGAATTATATTAGCCTTTTTGGCAGCTGCATCATATTGTTGACTTGTATTAAATTTGTGATCCACTATAACCCCCAGATCCTTTTCAGCAGTACTGCTACCCAGCCAATTATTCCCTAACCTGTAGTTGTGCATTTGATTTTTCCCTCTTAAGTGAAGTATTTTGCACTTGTATTTATGGAATTTAATCTTGTTGAAGATGAGGTGGCATGGAAGAAAGGAAGGGGAGCCAATACAGGAAGAGGTATAGGGAAATGAGAGAGAGAACAAAAAACAGATTCATACCAACACCAAGAAGGGACTGGACTATGGGATCGGGGACTCCATAGCCAGAATAATCGATAGATCTATCTCCAGACCAGATCCCTCGAACAGAAGAGTCCACTGTCTGTCAGGAGCAAGGATATGAGATGTGGACAGGAGGCTGAAAAGGATCTTGATCAGAGCTGGAAAAAATCCATTGATTGCAGTGCAGTTTGTAGTGCAGTGCAGATTGCAGTGCAGTTAACTATGGTTTTTGACTTCAAAAGATTTGGGGGAAATTAAGAGAATTAGTTAAAAAAGTCAACTAGATTGAAGAGCTCAAGGGCTTAAAGTGGAGGAGGCTTGGAATTTCTTCAAATCAAAATTCCAAGCAAGGAGAAAAAGCTTCTAGGGAAAGACTCCAGACCTAGCTGGATGAATAACCACCTCAAAAAGGTTACTAGAAGTAAGGAGACTGACTATAAGGAATGGAAAAAGGAAGAAAAGCAAAGAATATTACACTTAGGAGGTTAGAAAATGTAGGAATAAAGTCAGAATTGCTAAGAGTCAGGTTGAATTAGTTCTTGCCAAGGAAATTAAAATAAATAATAAAATTGTTTTAGTTATATAAATAAAAAGAAAAAAAAAAGAAAGGATAAGGTTAGGCTGCTATGCAAAATGGATGGGAAGGAGATTTAAAATCTAGGCATGACCCAAAAACTAAACGAATACTTTGACTCATTTTTCAATAACAATAATAAAATATGGAACATAAAGGCTGTATGACTGTTGGAAATGAGTGTGTAGAAGAAAATTACCATACTGAGTTTAATGTGTTAAAATCAGTTGGACCAGATTATTTCCACCCTAGAATACTAAAAGAATTTCCACATGAGATTGCTAGTCTGCTATCAAGGATTTTTAATAAAAATATATTTGTGGGCAATACTATATGACTGGAGAATAGCTAATGTCGTACCTAAGTTTAAAAAAAAAAATCAGAAAAAAAGGGATCTGGGCACTTTCAGACCTGTTAATCTGATCTCAGTCATATGCAAGGTTTTAGAACAAATTGTGAAGGACAGAATAATTAAATTCATGGACGTAAATGTGAAAGGTGAAGCAATGCAAAATGGCTTTACCAAAGGTAGATTATGCCAGACTAACCTGATTTCTTTATTTGAAAAAAATAACCGATTTTTTTAGATAAAAGGAAGTGCAAAACTTTAATATACTTGGACCTCAGTAAAGCACTTGACATGGTACCACACGGGAAATTATTTGTGAAGATGGGGATCAGTACAAGAATTGTAAGGTGAATAAGGGTATGTCTACACTACGGAATAAAGTCGAATTTATAGAAGTCGTTTTTTTAGAAATCGGTTTTATATATTCGAGTGTGTGTGTCCCCACAGAAAATGCTCTAGTGCATTAACTCGGCGGAGTGCTTCCACAGTACCGAGGCTAGAGTCGACTTCCGGAGCATTGCACTGTGGGTAGCTATCCCACAGTTCCCGCAGTCTCCGCTGCCCATTGGAATTCTGGGTTGAGATCCCAATGCCTGATGGGGCTAAAACATTGTCGCGGGTGGTTCTGAGTACATATCGTCAGGCCCCCCTTCCCTCCCTCCCTCCGTGAAAGCAAGGGCAGACAATCCTTTCACGCCTTTTTTCCTGAGTTACCTGTGCAGACACCATACTACGGCAAGCATGGAGCCCGCTCAGGTAACCATCACCCTATGTCTCCTGGGTGCTGGCAGACGCGGTACGGCATTGCTACACAGTAGCAGCAACCCATTGCCTTCTGGCAGCAGACGGTGCAGTATGACTGGTAGCCATTCTCGTCGTGTCCGAGGTGCTCCTGGCCACGTTGGCTGGGAGCGCCTGGGCAGACATGGGCGCAGGGACTAAATTTGGAGTGACTTGACCAGGTCATTCTCTTTAGTCCTGCAGTCAGTCCTATTGAACCGTCTTATGGTGAACAGGCAGGCGATACGGATTGCTAGCAGTCGTACTGTACCATCTTCTGCCAGGCAGGCAAGAGATGAGGATGGCTAGCAGTCATACTGTACCATCTTCTGCCGAGCAGCCATGAGATGTGGATGGCATGCAGTCCTTCTGCACCGTCTGCTGCTAGCCAAAGATGTAAAAGATAGATGGAGTGGATCAAAACAAGAAATAGACCAGATTTGTTTTGTACTCATTTGCCTCCTCCCCTGTCTAGGGGACTCATTCCTCTAGGTCACATTGCAGTCACTCACAGAGAAGGTGCAGCGAGGTAAATCTAGCCATGTATCAATCAGAGGCCAGGCTAACCTCCTTGTTCCAATAAGAACAATAACTTAGGTGCACCATTTCTTATTGGAACCCTTCGTGAAGTCCTGCCTGAAATACTCCTTGATGTAAAGACACCCCCTTTGTTGATTTTAGCTTCCTGAAGCCAACCCTGTAAGCCGTGTCGTCAGTTGCCCCTCCCTCCGTCAGAGCAAAGGCAGACAATCGTTCCGCGCCTTTTTTCTGTGCAGACGCCATACCAAGGCAAGCATGGAGGCCGCTCAGCTCACTTTGGCAATTAGGAGCACATTAAACACCACACGCATTATCTAGCAGTATATGCAGCACCAGAACCTGGCAAAGCGATACCGGGCGAGGAGGCGACGTCAGCGCGGTCACGTGAGTGATCAGGACATGGACACAGATTTCTCTGAAAGCATGGGCCCTGCCAATGCATGCATCATGGTGCTAATGGGGCAGGTTCATGCTGTGGAACACCGATTCTGGGCTCAGGAAACAAGCACAGACTGGTGGGACCGCATAAGTGTTGCAGGTCTGGGACGATTCCCAGTGGCTGCGAAACTTTCGCATGCGTAAGGGCACTTTCATGGAACTTTGTGACTTGCTTTCCCCTGCCCTGAAGCACATGAATACCAAGATGAGAGCAGCCCTCACAGTTGAGAAGCGAGTGGCGATAGCCCTGTGGAAGCTTGCAACGCCAGACAGCTACCAGTCAGTTGGGAATCAATTTGGAGTGGGCAAATCTACTGTTGGGGCTGCTGTGATGCAAGTAGCCCACGCAATCAAAGATCTGCTGATATCAAGGGTAGTGACCCTGGGAAATGTGCAGGTCATAGTGGATGGCTTTGCTGCAATGGGATTCCCTAACTGTGGTGGGGCCATAGACGGAACCCATATCCCTATCTTGGCACCGGAGCACCAAGCCGCCGAGTACATAAACCGCAAGGGGTACTTTTCAATAGTGCTGCAAGCTCTGGTGGATCACAAGGGACGTTTCACCAACATCAACGTGGGATGGCCGGGAAAGGTACATGACGCTCGCATCTTCAGGAACTCAGGTCTGTTTCAAAAGCTGCAGGAAGGGACTTTATTCCCAGACCAGAAAATAACTGTTGGGGATGTTGAAATGCCTATATGTATCCTTGGGGACCCAGCCTACCCCTTAATGCCATGGCTCATGAATCCGTACACAGTCAGCCTGGACAGTAGTCAGGAGCTGTTCAACTACAGGCTGAGCAAGTGCAGAACGGTGGTAGAATGTGCATTTGGACATTTAAAGGCACGCTGGCGCAGTTTACTGACTCGCTTAGACCTCAGCGAAACGAATATTCCCACTGTTATTACTGCTTGCTGTGTGCTCCACAATATCTGTGAGAGTAAGGGGGAGACGTTTATGGGCGGGTGGGAGGTTGAGCTAAATCGCCTGGCTGCTGGTTACGCGCAGCCAGACACCAGGGCAGTTAGAAGAGCACAGGAGGGTGCGGTACGCATCAGAGAAGCTTTGAAACCCAGTTTCATGACTGGCCAGGCTACGATGTGAAAGTTCTGTTTGTTTCTCCTTGATGAACCCCCCCCCCCCGCCCCTTGGTTCACTCTACTTCCCTGTAAGCTAACCACCCTCCCCTCCTCCCTTCAATCACCGCTTGCAGAGGCAATAAAGTCATTGTTGCTTCACATTCATGCATTCTTTATTCATTCATCACACAAATAGGGGGATGACTACCAAGGTAGCCCAGGAGGGGTGGTGGAGGAGGGAAGGAAAATGCCACACAGCACTTTAAAAGTTTACAACTTTAAACTTTATTGAATGCCAGCCTTCTTTTTTTTGGGCAATCCTCTGTGGCGGAGTGGCTGGTTGGCCGGTGCCCCCCCCCCACCGCGTTCTTGGGCGTCTGGGTGTGGAGGCTATGGAACTTGGGGAGGAGGGCAGTTGGTTACACAGGGGCTGTAGTGGCAGTCTGTGCTCCAGCTGCCTTTGCTGCAGCTCAACCATACACTGGAGCATACTGGTTTGGTCCTCCAGCAGCCTCAGCATTGAATCCTGCCTCCTCTCATCATGCTGCCACCACATTTGAGCTTCAGCCCTGTCTTCAGCCCGCCACTTACTCTCTTCAGCCCGCCACCTCTCCTCCCGGTCATTTTGTGCTTTCCTGCACTCTGACGTTATTTGCCTCCACGCATTCGTCTGTGCTCTGTCAGTGTGGGAGGACAGCATGAGCTCAGAGAACATTTCATCGCGAGTGCGTTTTTTTTTTTCTTTCTAAGCTTCACTAGCCTCTGGGAAGGAGAAGATCCTGTGATCATTGAAACACATGCAGCTGGTGGAGAAAAAAAAGGGTCAGCGGTATTTAAAAAGACACATTTTATAAAACAGTGGCTACACTCTTTCAGGGTAAACCTTGCTGTTAACATTACATACATAGCACATGTGCTTTCGTTACAAGGTCGCATTTTGCCTCCCTCCACCGCGTGGCTACCCCCTCAACCTTCCCCCCTCCCTGTGGCTAACAGCGGGGAACATTTCTGTTTAGCCACAGGCAAACAGCCCAGCAGGAATGGGCTCCTCTGAGTGTCCCCTGAAGAAAAGCACTCTATTTCAACCAGGTGACCATGAATTATATCTCATTCTCCTGAGGATAACACAGAGAGATAAAGAACAGATGTTGTTTGAACGCCAGCAAACATACACTGCAATGCTTTGTTGTACAATGATTCCCGAGTACGTGTTACTGGCCTGGAGTGGTAAAGTGTCCTACCATGAAGGACGCAATAAGGCTGCCCTCCCCAGAAACCTTTTGCAAAGGCTTTGGGAGTACATCCAGGAGAACCGCGAATGCCAGGGCAAAGTAATCCTTTCACATGCTTGCTTTTAAACCATGTATAGTATTTTAAAAGGTACACTCACCGGAGGTCCCTTCTCCGCCTGCTGGGTCCAGGAGGCAGCCTTGGGTGGGTTCGGGGGGTACTGGCTCCAGGTCCAGGGTGAGAAGCAGTTCCTGGCTGTCGGGAAAACCGGTTTCTCTGTTTGCTTGCTGTGAGCTATCTACAACCTCATCATCATCATCATCATCCTCATCTTCGTCCCCAAAACCTGCTTCCATATTGCCTCCATCTCCATTGAAGGAGTCAAACAACATGGCTGGGGTAGTGGTGGCTGAACCCCCTAAAATGGCATGCAGCTCATCATAGAAGCGGCATGTTTGGGGCTCTGACCCGGAGCGGCCGTTCGCCTCTCTGGTTTTCTGGTAGGCTTGCCTCAGCTCCTTCAGTTTCACGTGGCACTGCTTTGGGTCCCTGTTATGGCCTCTGTCCTTCATGCCCTGGAAGATTTTGACAAAGGTTTTGGCATTTCAAAAACTGGAACGGAGTTCTGATAGCACGGATTCCTCTCCCCAAACAGCTATCAGATCCCGTACCTCCCGTTCGGTCCATGCTGGAGCTCTTTTGCAATTCTGGGACTCCATCATGGTCACCTCTGCTGATGAGCTCTGCATGGTCACCTGCAGCTTGCCACACTGGCCAAACAGGAAATGAGATTCAAAAGTTTGCGGTTCTTTTCCTGTCTACCTGGCCAGTGCATCTGAGTTGAGAGTGCTGTCCAGAGAGGTCACAACGGAGCACTCTGGGATAGCTCCCGGAGGCCAATACCGTCAAATTGTGTCCACAGTACCCCAAATTCGACCCAGCAAGGCCGATTTAAGCGCTAATCCACTTGTCAGGGGTGGAGTAAGGAAATCGATTTTAAGAGCCCTTTAATTCGAAATAAATGGCGTCATCGTGTGGACGGGTGCAGGTTTACATCGATTTAATGCTGCTAAATTCGACCTAAAGTCCTAGTGTAGACCAGGGCTAAGGAACTTGCTAAAGGAGAGAAAGCAATGAGTTGGGCTGAAAGGTGAATTATCAGACTGGAGGGAGGTTACTGGGTTCCTAGTGGAGTTCCTTAAGGATCAGACTTGGAACCAATCTTATTCAATATTTTCATTAATGACTGGCACAAAAAGTAAGAGTATGCTAATGAAATTTGCTGAGGATACAAAGTTGGAATGTATCATCAATACAGAGAAAAATAGGAATATTATACAGGATGATCTGGATGACCTTGAAGACTGATGTGACAGAAACAGGATGCAATTCAATAGAACAGAGTGCAAGGTTGTATGCTTAGGTCTAATAATAAGATATTCTGGTACAAGCTGGGAGCTCATCAGTTGGAAGCAACAGAAAAGGAGAGAGACCTGGATGTATGGGTCAATCATAGGATGATTATGAGCCACCAATGTGATGCAGCTGTGAAAAACACAAATGCCATCCTAGGATGTATCAGGTGAGGCATTTCCAATACAGACAAAGCATTATTAAAGCCAGTATACAAGATATTGGTATGACCTCATTTGGAATACTGTATACAATTCTGGTCATCTATGTTCAAGAAAGATTAATTTAAAAACCAGAACAGGTTGTAAGCACCTGCAGACTTGAAACCAGGGGAGTTCTGGGCTGTGGACATATCTGCATTGCCACTAGAGGCTTAGCATAGGCTCCCATAGGAGGACCCTGTGAGGCTGGGCTCTCAGAAGGTACTGCCCAGCAGGATCGGAGTGCTGGCCTCTCACAGCCCACTGACTGGCTGGTACCAGTACTTCAAACAGGAAGCCACGAAGGGGAACTACCTGAATAACAACACAGACTGCCTTCTGTCTGTCTCTGCACCAGACACTGCTTTCAATCGACCCTAGTCGCCTGCTTCTGATGCTGATTTGTCCTCGACTGTGCTCCTTGATTGCTGTCTGTATCTTCGTGCCAAACCTCAATATGGTAACCTGACTCCGCCTGCCTCTTGACATCTGATTCGCAGGCTGCCCTCTGGACCATCTCAGACTCTGACGTCTCAGTATCTGACTCGGCCTGACTCTCGACTCTTGCTCTGACCACTATGTCTGACTGCCCTCATCCCAGCTGTGACATCCCAGAAGAGCCACTAGGATGATCAGGGAGATGCAGGGCCTATTTTATTTTATTTTATGAGAGGAGACTGGAAGAGTTTGGATTATTTAGTCTACCAAAAAGCAGGCTACAAGGTAATCTGATTGCTCTTTATAAACACATTAAAGGGGTAAATACTAGGGAGGATGAAGAGCTATTTAGTTAGTTACCCATTTGTTCTTGTGCTATTTGTAAAGGACAGTGGAGGCACAAGAACAAATGGGAATGAACTGGCCATGAACAAATTCAGGCTGGAAATTAGAAGGTTTCTAGCTATCAAGGAAGTGAGGTTCTGGAACAGGCAGGAGCTGTGGGGGCAAACAACTTAAATTAGTTTTACAAGAGAGCTGGACAAAGTTATGAGTGCTATTGTATGGCAGGGTTGCATGAGATGGTTGGGGGCAGGGCTCATTTCCAGCGTATGTATTATGTTCCTAAAACCTCATGTTTCATGATTTCAGCCGGCAAGATGGAGGGGTCAGGAACGGATTCCCGGCTCTCCTGTCCCCAATATATTGGGGGATTTTTTTGTATTTTTAAATCTTCTTCCTCAGAAGCATCAGGAAAGGCCAAAGATGGAGATGGGACATTGGATGAGGAGGGCCAAGTCTCTGGAGTGACATTGAGTATTCTGTCTCTCACATGCTTGGCTGACCGGTTCTTGCTCACAATTTCATGATCCAGTTGATCAAGTTGTGAGGGAATTTTCCCTCAGGTCAGATTGGCAGTGACCTAGGGGGATTTTCACCTTCCTCCGAAGCATGTGGGTGCAGGGCACTGGCCAGGATTATCTAGGTATATCTCACTTAATAAATTTCTTGCCACTGTGGGAGCCCTCAGGTACTTGTGCACCTCGGTCCCTCCTATTCTTTGCCTGCAGCACACAATAGTCTAGTCTTCTGTGGGCTGTAATACTTTGGTCTAATTTCCATTGTAGGGTTTGATGTGGGGGTGCTGGATGTTGCTGGTGTCCTGTGATATACTAGACTAGATCTGGTGGTCCCTTCTGGCTTTGAATCCTATGACTCTATGACTATGTTTTGTGTGCTCAAGATATGCTTATGCCCAGTGTGTCTGCTCATAGGTCTCTAGTGGCAATAGAAGTAGAGAATCCAATATGACTGCAGAAATGACTGGAGTCATACTGCATTATCAGCATTTGCTAAGATAATTCTCTCTCACTCTGCTCTATAAAGCCAGCCTGTGGCTGGAGTGCCTACAGAGAGAGAGGCAGCTTCTCTTGAATGAGAGCGAGTGTGTGCAGAGCATATGAAGATTTAGGCAGCTTTGTTATCCAGGAGAGTCAAAAGAATGGGATTTCATGAGTATCTATTTGAAATCTATGCTCAAGGAAACTGTCAGCAGAACCCAACTTATTGTTGTTGACAGTGTAAGACTGCATATTTTGGGTTTTTATTGTGCAATCCAGAAATCATGTGAAAGGGAAAATTTAACTGCATATAAAAGTTACTGATTATATATATATGAACTCTTAATCACATTATACTCTCTATTTTAAGGAGGCAAATGAAGAGGAATTTGTTAGTATGCATGAGTTACGCTAAATGCATGTCTTAAGACCAATATTAATTAGAAATACAAAGTAAATGTACAAATATTTTAGACCCAGTGGCATGCTACATATAGTATGGGTTAAACAAACACATTTTTTGGTAATTAATGCATCACCACTGCACTGTAGCCAAGTACACATTTTTACATCTACATAATTATTACATGCTACAGAACATACATTGCCTTCAATAATAGGTACCAAGTATTAATATTATACATGAATGCAAATAAAACAAAACCCAGGGACCAGAAGTGAAAAAAAAACCACAACCTTATATAAGTCTAAGCCTTATTCTCTAGACACACATGTTTATTTACAGAAATGAATAAATTAACATGGAAGATAATTGCTTGGATCTTAGCCATCAATTATCTCCAGGGCAAATATAAACTATGAAGAACAGTAACTAAGGCCAAATCCTGCAAACTCTTAATTGTATGACTAAGAGCTTTTCACACAATGTTTTTTTGTGGATGCAGCTCTATACTTCCAGGAAAAGAAAGTGCTGCTTTTCTAATGGTTCAGTATACATTAATTGTGATGTTTTTCAGATTATTTTGTTTAAGAGAGGCTCATCCATTTATGGCTCGATTTCTACTGTAGAGAGTTGCACTAAACACTCAAAATGACCTTACTTTCCATTTCTATGCATTGTTTCATCCTATCGCCCCCCAATTATTACAAAGTATAGACGAACAGGAACTGTGCCTCACCATTTAAACCCAACACCACTGAGGAGGAGTTATGGTGAGCTGCATAGCAAATCAGACAATAGTTGAGAATGTGACATTTTTTCACCGAGGAACAGAGGTGCCTCCAAGGGATTTTTTTCAAGTGCCTCCAAGGGATTTTTAATGGTAATACATGATAGAAAAGACTTTGGTTTAAGCCGTTGTCAGAGGGGTTAAAGATTGGCTAGTGGACATAGCTCAAAAAGTAGTTATCAAAGGTGAATCATAATTGAATGGGGATATTTCTAGTGGGGTTCTGCTGGGATTGCTACTAGACAAGACACTATTCAACATTTTCCTCAATGATTTGAAAGTAAATATTAAATCACTGCTAATAAAATTTGTGATGACGCAAAGATAGTCAGAATGTTAAGCAATAAGGAGGACAGGGCAGTGATACAGATTTATCAGGATTGCTTGGTAAGCTGGGCCCATTCAAACAAAACATGTTTTACTACAGGCAATTGCAAAGTTATACATCTAGGAACCAGGAATGCAGGTCATATCTACAGAATGGGGGGCTGAAAGGAATTTAGGGGTCATGGTGGACAAGCAACTCAACATGAGCTTCCAATGAGAAGCTGTGACAAAGGAGGGCTAATGCGACCCTTGGATATATAGGGAAGGGAATTTTACCTCTGCATATGGCATTAATGAGACCGATCCTGGAATATGGCATACTGCTCTGTGTCCATATTTTAAAAAGGATGTTGAAAAGCTGGAGAGGGTGAAGAAAAGAGCCACACAAATGATTCAAGAGC